GAGGGGGTTGCCCTTTTTGCTCTGGAAACCTCTTCATTGCACACACAGACACACACAGCTTCCCTTTGTCTGATATCTTACAGTATCTCACAGAGCTGTTGGAGGTCCTCGTTGCTGCTCCGGTCGGACTCTGCAGCACCTCGCGCTTCATTTTTCACTTCTGCAGCTGCACAGTGTAACCAGTGACTCGTTTATTTGGAGTAATAGTCACAATCCTGCTACTTTAGAGAAGCTTTATTGAGCCATCTAGGCATGAACGACTATCGTGACAATGAGTCTGCCTGCATCCTCATGCAAAGCACTGTACGTGTCCCTCCAAAGCAAGTTTGGTCATTTTAGCTCCTTTAAATCTCTGCTTCTCTGTTCACAGCACAACTTAAACATCTCTAAGACTCAAGCACTCTTTAAAGAAAGTAGAAATCGTCTGACCTAAAGAGCTTTGTCCCAGCTTTTGTTGAAGAGAACAGTCCAACTCGGATTGGAGTTCATTGTCCTGGACACTGTCTCCAATGATTTTTCTGCTCATCCCATCAGACACTCTTAGCTGTACGTATTAGAAACATGTTGCCTGTAATGGAGGAGGAAGCAGCGAACAGCAGGCGAGAACCATCAGGCCAAGTCAGAGAAATGAAGCCAAACTCACACAAAAGAAAACTGACCTTCAAAGTAAAACAGCAAACAACCAAAAGAGACCAAACACAAGGGTGAAAACTAAGACAGTAACACAGATACGACACAGAGGGGGAGGCACAAGCTCCAGACACTGATCATCATCTGGACAGGAAAGTCCACAATATCACCAAAAAACTCAAACAGTGAGATCAGAACCATAATCAAAACTCCACAGCAAAACACTGAAAACCAAAATGACCAGAAGATTTACAGTCTTACACAATTCCTGTATTTCAGGATTTTAAAAGCAGTAACACTGCAGGTGATAGCAAACGTTTCAGGGACCTGAAACTGTGCCAGTGGTACTCTGTGTGTACTGTAAAAGCTGCAAACGCTAACGAGTTGCATCAACTTAGGTAAGAAGTTCAGTCATACATTCATTAATTTTAAGATTTCTGCTCATGTATTTACGGTGAAGACATTTAAATTAATACATTTGAACAAACTTGGTTCTAAGAAATTAAAACATACACATTTTTTGATACTCAAAAATCTTTTGCAATGTTGCCATAATTTTTTAACTCATTAAACACTGTGCAGTTTTTTTGTGGAAATTTTTAAAGTTTTTCACATCAAGATTTGTTGAAATTTTCTCTAACCAAAATTACAGTCTCCATAAAGTCAGCAGACGGTAAGTGTACGTCCTAAAAATCTGTTTTTCTAGCGTCTAAGCAGAAGCAGCACCGGATATTTCAGCTGTGCTAAAATCAAGCAGTGAGCTAAAAATGAAACTAATAATCTATATCTAATATATTAAACAAAGATCAGGACATTTAAAGAAACATTTCCCCAAACCAGCCGAGTAAAAACATCAAAGGCACATTAGCTAACATTAGCTAACATTAGCTAATTAGCACATTAGCTAACATTAGCTAATTAGCACATTAGCTAATATAGAAGACTGTCTATAAGTTTCTCTAACTTTAATCATATTTCGTATATATTTGGTAATAATTTTGATTTGAATTATTATGGAGATGAATAAGCACAAGATAATGGGGAATTTCATTTGACTACAAAGTCATATTTTAGTTTAATATTGATTGTTAAGTAGAAGTGGAGGCTTTAACTAGCTGCAAGCTAATTCCTGTGACTTCAAGCCTGGAAATAAATGTTTGCTTGTTTGTCTTCAACTACGAGCACTTTGTGGATTATATGACGTGCACGGGGAGACGTCTGACGTGACGACCAGTGAGTGTTTTCTACAGGACAGCTAACATGTCACAAAATGTGCAGTTACGCATCTGAAAAATTGTGGGGTGTGGTTAACCACTTCCTGTGTTGAAACAATAAAAAGTATCAAATCATATAGCTCACTGCAGAACATAATACGTATTATCTGATTACGCTGTGCTCCAGGCAAACATACAAGTTAAACTGTCACAAAACCAAAACAGCTGTGGACATGAGTATCTTCCCACATGTTCGCATGCGCATGCGATGTGACTCACAAATTTGTGTGATTATGCAACCATGTGTACATTACCAGAACACCCCAATTTTCCCATTTTTTAAAAAATTGAAAATGATGCAGTTTAATGTCTCATTGCACTCTGAAATTAAAGCATTGTACAAATAAGCAATTGAGTTGAAAAAGAAATCATAGAATCAATATTGACCAACATGTATTCACCTTTGGAAGCTATAACAGCTGAACACACACGTAAAATTCTTTCTACAATAGAAATAAAATATTCTTCAGAAAATTCTTCCCATACCTGTTGCACCTGTCAGTTGTTTTGCTTTCACTTTTCTGTCCAGTTCATCCCAAACCAGCTCGATGGGGTTTAACCTAAGACCCGAACTCTTTCATGGCATTTTTATTTCTCTTTGCTATTTGGGCTGATTGGGACCTGATGAATGTAAAAACAAAGAATAACCTGATAATTTTATTTGTTTACCTGATTTTTGTTTTTGACAAAAATGAGATCCA